GAATTCTTGTGCATATTCAAAAGATAATTGAGCTACAAGGTGGTAACGAGTACATAGAGGGGAGAGACAAGCCTCGGCTAAGGCGGCCGTACATCGGATAGATTATTCTTGGCGGGACAGAACTTTTGTGAGGCACCTCCGTACAGTACTTGGATTTAAAATGCCAAGTCTTTTTTATTTGTTCATTTGCTTGTCAAAGAACCGTCATCTACCTCGACTTTTTCGCTAGAGCAAAAAAAAATCTATTATTAACCCCCCCCCCCCCCCACAATGCATATTCCAAAACAAGAATACCCAAGCAAAGAAAGAGCAACACGTGAAACCGTTTCGTAGTCTTGCAAGCTCGAAAAAAAATGAAATGATCGAGATGGAAAATGGCTGTTATTTCCTTTTTTTTCTTTTCTGTCCGGTGTACTTTCTTACTAACTTACTCCTTGGCCGCGACAAGCGGACTACTACCAAGTCCAAACGTCATACATGTATCACATTTTGTTTCAATCATTATCGCGCCAACCCCCTACTCCCCCCCACTCCGATAAGATGCGTGCATCGGACATTTTTAGAAGAAGAGAAGAAAAAAAATTACACTAAGAGAAAGGGAGGGATTGGTTAAAATCACCGAGGTATTTTTGTTTCCTTGCCATGTGCATGCATGCATGTTGTGTAGGTCATTTTCCAACATCGAAGTAAATTTTGCTATCCATTTTTTTTGATACGTAGGGATAGATTAGATACATTACAATATCTACTTGACTGTCTTTGGGAGAGAATAATCAGCAGAGGTGGAATGGGTACTTTAAAGATTATTGATTGCTACGTCATGATACGGCGCTTTTGGTGTGTTTGTCCGTCCGTTACATCCGGTCATCCGTCCGCCGGTAAATACGTACGATAACCAGGTACAAGGTACTAGGTACGTACATACGTATGTAGACACGCGCCCTGCGCGGTATTGACTTCTCCACACCCCCAGAATCTATAGTACCAGGATGTTGCTCTTTCCTTTGAAGGAACCTCTGGGATATCGCGCTTGTTTAAAACACCCTGGTCGAGAGGGAGAGAGAGAAAAGAAGTGGAAACGCACCGACGCCAAGCTCGTCGGTGAAGCGTACGTACTTACGCATGTACGTACATGTACTTACATGAACGTAGTAAGTAGGCTGTTCAACCCGTGTACATGATGCGCCATGCAAAGTATAAGAACCCCACAATACCACCGAGCGCCAAATGCGCCAAACAGAGCATGACCGATGCAGATGATCTCCAGCTCCAGCCACGTGGCTGGAAACAAATCAAGGAGAGAGAGAGGTATTGTTAAATGACGTATGCAGAGGAGTCGGTAAAGAAAAATAAGAGTAAGAAAACAGACCTTAGGTGAGGAAATGCGAATAGTGTCCCGGGACTCTTTGTCGGCATTTTTCGCAATCGTCCCGATATCCCATGCTGAAACGGCCCATGCCCGTTAGAGCACCACTTCGCTTCCTGCCGCGAGGTGTGTTGGGTGAAGCAGTCGTCGGGCGTGTCTCCGTGTCCATGGCATCAGTCGTGCTTGCTGGCGAGACACAGAGCCGTGACAATTGCGACTGGGTTTGAGCGGTGGGTGTGTCGGGAATATCGTCGTCTTCGGATATGGGCGAAGGCATGCGCCTACTTCGGTCTTCATCTAAACCTTGTTTGGGTCCTTTCCATGCTGGGGGCGGGGCCTGCATAGGCGGTACATGAATACTATCGATATCCAACCCGCCCGCTGAGCCGCTTATCGGATAACCTACACCGTTCATTCCTCCCCTCCTAAAACAAGGGTGTATGGGCGTTGGTATCCGACCATTGCTGGTTGCTGAATCTGAGTTGAACAATGAGGGTTGGAGCATGGGCGGTCGCATAAAGGTGCTGCCAAAGGAACTGAATGCAGGCGACTCTGGCGGCTGGCTGCGTGCATCTGCGTCGTCGTCCATGTCCATGTCGTAATCCATTTTACTCGACTCTCTTGATATGCAGAAAAAGCCATCTTGAATCGAATCCGGTGAATCCAGTATTCCATGATCTGATTGTACCGGTGTCATGGAACGGATGTCCGTAAACAGCCTAGGTGGAGAGGGTGTCTGAAAGGGTCGGTGGGGTAGAGTTGATTGTGATTGGAAATGAAATTGGCTATTGCTTGTGTGATTTGCGAAGGCTGGCCGTGATTTCTGGGCCCTACCGGTTAGCCAAAGTCAAGAGTCGAATGTATAGTAGGCTGACGTACCTTGGTATACCTGTCCTCGTCACAGTCGGAATCCTCGTCAACGTCCCGATCGCGCTTCCGGTAGGTAGTCTGAAACATGGACATGGCAGGTCGTGCAAACAGGCGTTGTTGGATAATTATTTGGTGGTGCTGACGCGCCCAGCAGGATGTAGAAGTGGGGGAACGAGCAGACTTGGGCAGCGGACAAGGCGATGGAGGGGTATGTAAATGAGGATCCGGGGTGGCAGCTGAAGCGCCTGAAAATATGTTTTGAAGCAAGCAGGCGAGGGGCTGATACGGCTATCAGGGGCCGTCGCGGTGTTTCAGGTCGCATGAAAAGAACCCTAGTTTGTGTTGTGGAGTCGCGCGCCTCTCATGGCCTGGCGCTCGGGTGGGGGAGAGTCCTGTTTGGTCGTCGGGAAGTCGAGGGCCCGTTGCCTGCATTAGCAGGCTCCTAAGCAAGGCAGCAATTCTGCAAAGGATGGTGTGGCGTAGCGTGGAGGAGTCGTGACCCTGGCTTGCAGAGTGAGGCCGACATGCAGCTGGCCGCTGGGCACCGCCTCATCACGTGGATCGTATTGTACACGGTAGTATATGCATGGGAAAGGAGAGCTGAGGTGATGGTGGTTTTGTTCGTCGCCGCGAGCCGCAGGTGGCGCATTCTTGTGTTTCTACAAGGCAGCTGAACAGGCGCCAGCAGCTGTCGCAGGATCGTGTAGAGAGGAGTGGTCGGTGTGGGTGTTGGCTGCTGGCCTGAGGCGGCTTGGGATTGGCGTAGACGGGACGGGACGAGTGCGGCTTCTCAGAGTCTTTGTGGAGGATTACAGGATACTCTGTACTTACTGCGTACACTTCTCTCCCTTTATATATGTACCTGTATATGTATTCATATATATATATATATATACACCATGTGTAGTGTATGTGTGTACGTGAATATATTTCATACAATACAAATATGCATACATGTGCATATATACACAAGTATGTACTCTATACGTCGAAGATTGTCGTCACAGCAGCCAACAGGAAGACAGGCATTGCCAACTGTCAGACCCGAGCTTATTAGCGAGCATGCAGGGCGGTGTATCGATAACGGAACTCTAAATGGCAGCCAGAACGGACCATTCAAGCCCCCCACCCTGCCAAAAAAAGTCTCACTCCACTTCAAAATAATTTAGTAGCAAATCTATGTCTGACTGTACGGCCAACGCGCCTTTAGCTTGATACGCGCCTTCACATATCTTCTCACCTGAAAACCCCACCAGCACTTGGTCTTGCATCTACTGCTTACTTTGGCGCCTCGAGCTGAATCAATTGACTCTACCTATTCACGCTATTTCTTGCTAGAGAACCGTATAAACAGCCCCGCCTCTGCGTCTCCTTGAAAGGTTACACCCCGCCCATCCTTCAATTGCCAGTCATCTAGCTGTTTTGTACGTGGAAACAACGCAACAACCATTTTTCTTTGACGTCTCAAAATACATGCTAACTTTGAAAAGTGTACACCACTTTCGCCGCCTCCACATACACAGGCTCATCCCACAAACATGGCCTCCCACGACCAGACCACCAACGACGATGTGCGCGGTAAAACACCCAATTTACGACACAGTCTGCGAAACAAATGCACTGACATTGCTGCACAGTACTTGGTTATGACCCACTCATCCCTCCCCAACTCCTCGCCCAAGAGCTTCCCATCCCCGCCCACGCCCAAAAGACGGTCCTCCAAGGACGCAAAGATGCTGCCAGCATCATCACACAAAAGGATGACCGACTACTTGTCATGGTTGGGCCCTGCTCGCTCCACGACCCAGAATTGGCCGTCGAGTACTGCCAGCGTCTCAAGGCTTTGGCCGACAAGCTTCAAGACAACCTCTGCATCATCATGCGCGCTTACCTTGAGAAGCCACGAACAACAGTCGGCTGGAAGGGTCTGATCAATGACCCAGACATTGACGAGACGTACCAAATCAACAAGGGCCTTAGGGTATCTCGCAAGCTCTTTGTTGACCTCACATCTGCTGGCATGCCTATCGCCTCAGAGATGCTCGACACCATCTCTCCACAGTTCCTTGCAGACCTCATCTCCCTTGGCGCCATTGGTGCCCGGACGACAGAATCCCAGCTCCATCGTGAACTGGCGTCTGGTCTCTCTTTCCCCATTGGCTTCAAGAACGGCACCGACGGAGGCTTGACAGTGGCTGTTGATGCTATCGGTGCTGCGGCAGCAAAACATCACTTCATGGGTGTTACCAAGCAGGGTCTGGCTGCCATTACCAGAACCGCGGGTAACGAGCACTGCTTCGTTATTCTGCGTGGTGGATCCAAGGGCACCAACTACGACAAGGACAGCATCAAGGCTGCCCGTGAAGCTTTGAAGAAGAAGGGTCTGCCTGAAGTTATGATGGTCGACTGCTCACACGGTATGTTTTGTTGACTCATTCTGAGCTTCTCCAGTCAAAAGTGGGACACGCCACTAACACACGTGCAGGCAACTCGAACAAGAACCACCGCAACCAGCCCCTTGTAGCAAAGGACATTGCTGATCAAATCCGCAACGGCGAGACTGGCATTGTCGGTGTCATGATTGAGTCCAACATCAACGAGGGCAACCAAAAGGTTCCACCCGAGGGCCCTAGCGGCCTTAAGAAGGGTGTCTCCATCACCGATGCCTGCATTGATTGGGATACTACTGTTGAGACGCTTGAGAACCTTGCTGCTGCTGTCGCAGAAAGACGGGCACACAAGACCAATGGCGCACAATAGAGTCTTTATCATACATCATATTTTATGTATGAGAAAGGGACTCGTGTAAGCGTATGTGGTGGTAAAGGGCGTTCTTTTTCCATTTGTCCATCCTCAAGTTTTATCATGTGGGAGTTTAAATGAAGAAAAAATATCTTGTCTCGGATAGACACGGCGATGGGCGTCAAAATTGCTACGAGGTTTACGAAATACAGTTATGAACATGAATATATCTTTCCATTCTTGCTTTGGTTGTAGAGTTCGTACTAAAACATTTCAACGCTTGAGATCCAACTGGGGGTATCATAAGTGACCATGTTGTGTGAGCCATGGACATGAACACCTCGTCATTCATCCTCGTCCTCGTCCTCATCCTCTTCTTCTTCCGCCCTCGCATGCAGTGTACTTCTCCTACTTCCCTCTGTACTCGTTCTCGCAGCCACCCTATCCGCCCTCTCGCCCACAAACACATCTCCTGTGCACTCTGTCCGGCACCTCGGGCACTTTCTTTCTCGGTCCCTTCTGCCCCTATAGTAGCTATTCGCACACGCATCGTGCCACCTCACTCCGCAATTTTTGTTGTTGCACCTGATGCCGACTGTGACGATCTCTCTGCAACCCTCACAATCTCGGATGCGAATGATTTCTCTTCCGTCTTCGTTTTCGTCGGCAGACTCGTTGTATGTCTCCTTGAGGTAGGCGCGGAGTTCCATGAGGGCCCGGGGGGCAAGCGAATAGTATCCCGCGCGGGACTTGTTGAAGAAGCCCTGTGCTACAAGGCTGTCTAGCACGTTGTCGGCTTCGGCAATGGAAATGCTCGTGTCTGCGCCTTGCAGTTGCGTGTCTTGCGTTTCGTCGTTGAATTGCGTTGAAGTGCCATTGAACTGGCTTTGTCTGTTGCGTCGCGATACGCGGGCGAGCTGCGATGCCTCTGTGTGCTTTACAGCCATTGTCTCGCGGACGCTGGTGTTGTTGGCTTCAAACATATGGTCCAGGAGACGCCGGATGTATGCGATTTCATTCGCCGAGAAGGTAGTTGCAAGCTGTGTGAGTGCGTCGCTCGTGTTATTCACAAGTGCGTACACAACATCTTTGCTTTGCTGGTCACGCATGGAGCGGATTTCATAGTCAAAAGTCTCAAGTTTGGCGTTGATGGTTTGGATTGTCGATGTCAGGTAAGGCTGCGTCACATCGCCTTCAGTCCATGGGCGGTTGGGGTCTATGGGATATGTCAGTGTCATACATAGCCCACATTTTGTATAGCAGTTTACTGTATGCCGTCATTATATGGGCCAGAATGGGCTTCATCTCCTCCACGGTGAGTACGCCGTTTGTCTGAAAGGCCTGGAGAAATGCGCGGTGTATTGAATTGTAACCCTCATCTTCTATGGGTGCGCGGACAAACGGTGATTCGCTTCGTGACATTTTTCTGGAGAATATGAGAGTTCAGATGCGGGGTTCTTGTTCAAGAGTTGATAGGCAATCGATGTACGCAAGGGTGGGGAAATTTGGCGACGCGAGAACGCGAAAGCACGTGAACAGAAGATGCTAGTACTACCCCAGATGTGTTCTAGCAGTAAACATCATGTCATAGGCTGTCGTCACCGCAGAGCCTTTGATTCATGAACCAGCCATAAAAGTCCAAACTTTGCAGCCAGAAGAATTATACACGAGTGATTTTCTTCATTGCACTACAAGTACTGAGCTTGAATGCCAGTTGCTTTACGCTCACATCTAACAATACTATCATACTCATTGTTGCAGAAAAGCCAATTGGACACTGAACAGCGTTCACCCTTATACATGAATGCCTCTAAAGACCCTAAAGTCCTATGTAGTCTAGCCAGTCCCAACGCCTGTTCAGTCATCTAATGTCTTGCCCTGCCTCTTGCGCCTACACATAATACAATATCCCATCATCCCAGCATACATATATCCTCGTTTCCGTAGATCCATGGTCTGCGCAGTCTTAGACTGGCAGGTCCGAGTTTCTTGTCGCTCCACTTATTGCCTGCAGAGCCTTTGCAATGTAGGGGCCAATGATCGGTACGTTGCTAACAAATCCCGCAATGGTTGCGAGGAAGTCGCCGAAAAGAATGAGGATGCCATATAGCTCGACTATGAAGCCGATGAATGCCCAGCGCATGAGAATGAGCGATATGCCGGCAACGAAGGCAAGGGTGCCTTTCCATTTTTGCTTGCGAGCGAAGAAGGCGACCGTTTTTGTTGTTCCAATGATAAGTGTAAGACCAATTATAAACAGTATCTATCGGGGATGCATTAGACACGCTCCGGGAGGCGGGGAGGAAGGAGGGAGGAGAGACATACGTTGCCCATTGCTAGCCTTTTCAGATGTTAGTAAGCCTCAAAGATATGAATGGTTTATACTTACATGGCGCGATCAAAAAACATCATGACACCGCCCATTAGAAAAAGTCCGCCTATTCCTCATGTCAATCTTGCGTCGCATGACAGGCGCATTCGCAAAAATAGACGCATACCTACCTCCGGAGCAGAAGGCGACCCCAATCTCTATCCGTCATGTTAGAAGGCATACAAAAGAACAGTTCAAGGACTGAGGGGCTGCGGATCTTACTTTGGGTATCTGAAAGCCACATAGTCGGCATCCTGGATGTGTGTGATGGGTGTAATTCGCTACGTGCGAGGCGGTAGAAGTAAGGAACGTCTGGGCAGGGCCACAAGTTGAAGAGAAAGATGGGAGCAACAGGAGCGATGCCTCTGCTCGAGGGATATCTGGCATGAAAGTGGTAACTCTGGTATGCCTGTTTCGTGTCCCCTCGGCGGAAGTTGAGACGCGGGCGCGCTGGAGTGGTGGACCAACCAGCCCGGAGCTCACCCCTGCTAGCGCATCTGTTCCTGCGGGAGACGGCATAAAATTCTGGCTGCTTGTTCCTCGCACTCGAACGAACCATCTTCACCCCCCACGCTGGATGGATGCAAGTACCGGTACACATGAGCAATTAATGTATTGTTCTATTATGCTACCCACGTTACGCTACAAACACAATAATCAACGTAGACATCGCCTTGACAACAGCGTGCTTCGAGCTGCTGTAACTAGGAATCCTCACGCGAGATCCTGGTATACTGTCTTATGGGCGTAGAAGAAAGCTGGATCACGGTTAAGCCGGAGCACCTCCTTGAACCATGGGCCGAGAGGCTTGTGGTGGGTGGAGAGTAGCTTGACTTTGATGATCATACATATACACTGGAAGCTAGCCCATCTAGCAAGGACCTATGGCTGAAGGCTCGCACAACATGGCCAGCATCATCCATCTGGATTCGGTGCGCCATTTCCGAGGGCATGGGTGTAACGCTGCGCAATACAAGGTTGATCTCACTTTGTCGAGTCAGCCAATTACTGCTGACCCTAAGCCGGCTATGTCGTGCGATATGCTGAGCCGATGTGCTGCAAGCACCCCAGTGAGCGCGCAACTGCAGTAATTGTCGCATCATTATATCCTGCCCTCATTTCAGGACAGTGTGTGCGCCTCTTGCCGCGAGATAGCCTTCAGATACGTTCTGCGGCATCGTCCTGATACTGCCAAACACTTCCTTGTTGTGGTATCTCAGACGCGTCTTGGGGTCCGTATATGGCGCAGGAAGGCCGGTAATGTCGCAGTACTTTTTCTGACTGCTTGGGTGGAAGCTCGGTGCAGATTCGATATTTGTGTACGTGGGTGCAGGGCCGGCTGCGTTTCCTCCCGCAGCTGCTCTGCCATTCTTCTCCAGGACCAGCGTACTCAAGCTTTGAGCCGCCTGTGCAATGTTGGGCTGTCGGCCAGCGTTTCCAGCTGCATTGGTGCCTTCACTGGCGGCCGCAGGGGTTGAAATGCCACTGTTGTTCTGTGTGGCCATTACCGACGCCTCTTTCCGTGAAGCTTCGCCGAGGATCTGCTTCAGGTTCTTGTTGCGGCGCTGTGGTGGCTTCCAGTTGGGATTCCGGAAGGGTTTAGAAACTGCATAGATGTCGAGCTTGTCTAGGAGCGCTTGGTGCGTCTTTTCGTCTGAAGCGGCTGTCAAGGGCGCCATGGTGTGAGGATTTGACGGTTAGGATGGGATAGTTGTCCTTGGCTATGTCGCGTTCGTTCAGCAGTGCCTGGTCGCGTCACTCGTCTAGATGCTTTGGGGGCTAACGTTGCGTGCGAGGTAGAAGATTATATGGTTTCGGAACGCGCGTTTCTCTGTTTCTAGCCGCAGTGGGTGAAAGAGATGGGTATCATGTACGTGTAGGGATGAGGGTGGCTGCACTGAGAGACGGAGCTTGCGGAGGTGGAGCTCCTCCGAGGGACCTGCATGAGGTCGCTCACACTAGCTGTTTTGATCCTCCCCACCAAACATCCCCAAGGCGCGCGCACTCCATAGCAACGCAATACAGCCGCAGACATGGTGAGATCTACGAGCATGGTTCTTGTAGCCAGGTTGGGTATCTGATTGGTCTACAGGAAAGCCCCCATGAGCACCAGCAAAGCCAACTGCTTTCGCGCATCATTGTCAATGTTGTTAGTATACCCACGTCTTGGAGCAGCAAGGCCCATAGTTATACTGACTACCGCAAAGGAGAAACTGAACGAGGCAATCATGATGTTGAACAAGAATCTCCAGGAGATCAACATCCAGAACATGGATACGGAGCTGGTGGCCCAGATGTTCAAGAACTACCAATCCAACGTGCTCTTCCACCTTGAAGGTACACAGGACATGACCCGATAAGTGTTTACAGAAACGACTGACAACTTCTAGCAACAAATGGTCTTAAGGATCCTGCGTAAGCGGGAGCATGCGCGGCCTCCCATGTGTACATAGATTGTGTCTTCAACATGCAGTAGACAGCGGATGAGCTTAGTAGAAAACCTATGTATGCATCGCAGTAGAATTACAACAGAAGTGATTGGATAGCCAAATAATGAGATATGATAGTACTAGTTACAACTTGTGGCGCAAAAGCATCGTACATATAGTGGGCCCAGACAATGCATATATCCAAGCAACATGCGGAGACGGGCCCGGACCACCGAGCACCAGTACCCAGAGAGCCTCACGACAGGACAACCACCATATCGCGCAAACAATCGCGCTAACCACTCACGCAATACACACACGCCCCACGCTCCTCCAGCTGCGACATGATCTAGACACCACCCACACAGCTTCAGTCCATCTCCTACTCGACGCAGACATGGCTCCCTCGGCCATTGACGAGGCGCCTCAACCCGCCGGGCGCAATCCACCCAAGCCTCCGCCAAAGCTATGGAGCGTGTCAGAGCCACCTTTCGAAGGCTTTCGGCCTGTCGACCACGAAGGCTGGTCGCGTAGCAACAGCGAGACGGCTATAGTCATCGACAATGGTACCATTCACGCATCCCCCATTGCCTTCTTGTCGCTGTACAGGCTGACGCATTGCAGGCTCCTCAGCAGTTCGCGCCGGATGGTCTTTCGACTCGAAACCGCGACTCTCAGTGCTCCCCAATATGGCCAGGTATCGCGATCGCAAGCTGAACCGGACCTTTACCTTCATCGGAGCAGACGTCTACGCGGATGGCACGGCGCGAGGACAATCCAAGCCCGTCTACGAACCCGGCAGCAACATCATCAACAACTGGGACGTCATGGAGGGCGTGCTAGACTACTGCTTTGTCAAGATGGGTGTCGACGGTCAGTCAGGGCGCATAGAACGGCCCGTTGTCATGACCGAGCCTATTGCCAACCTAGGCTATTCAAGAAAGAGTATGTGAGCCTGCACAGGAAGGACACTTATGCTTTTGTGTTACAGCCCGCTAATTATGTATCCTACAGCCATGTCTGAGATCCTGTTCGAGTGCTACGGTGCACCCTCGGTCGCATATGGAATCGACTCGCTCTTCTCCTACGCTTACAACGGTGGTCGCAGCGGCTTGGTCATGGATTCTTCATACACTTCCACGCACGTTATTCCCGTCGTCAACTCAAAACCTCTACTATCGCAAACCACGCGACTCAACTGGGGCCGCTTCCAGTCCGCACAATACCTACTAAAGCTTCTGAGGCTAAAGTATCCCACATTCCCTGGCAAGATCAGTGACAATCAGGCCGAGGATCTTGTCCGCGAGCACTGCTATGTATCGCAAGATTACGAGAATGAACTCAGCCACTATCTTGACTGGACAGGCCTTGAGGACCGAGATCACACAATTCAATTCCCTTACACAGAGCAGATTGTAGTGCAGAAGACAGAAGAAGAACTAGCTGCCGCTGCCGAGAAGCGCAAGGAAAGTGGCCGAAGATTGCAGGCTCAGGCTGCCAAAATGCGTCTGGAGAAACTGAAGAAGAAAGAGGAAGAGCTCGAATGGTGCCTACAGTTGCAGGCACAGCTTGAAGAGATTACTACAAAAAAGGAAAAGGCCCGTGTACTTGAATCCAATGACTTTGACGACGAGAACCAGCTCAACAAGCGAGTCAAAGAACTAGAGTTTGCCATCAAGAAGGCCCGGAACAAGGATCTTGGCGACGTAGAGGAGGAGCAGGCCGAAGCACCTACTTTCCCTCTCCTCGACGTTCCAGATGACCAGCTGGATGAGGAAGGCATCAAGCAAAAGCGGCAGCAACGGTTGATGAAGTCCAACTACGACGCCCGTCAACGCGCAAAGATAGAAAAGGAAAAGGAAAAGGCACGATTGGCAGAGGAGCAGCGCCTTGATGACCAACGGCGAGAGGAGGATCCCCAAGGCTGGATTGAGGAGCGCAGGATAGCACGACAAGCCATTATCCAGAAGATCAAGGACCGTGAGCGACTGAAAGCCGAACTCGGAAACCGCAAATCCCTCGCCAACCAGATGCGCATGAAATCCATCGCGAACCTTGCATCTGACACCCCGACCAAGAAAAGACGGCGAGGTGGCGGCGACGACGACACATTTGGTGCCGATGATGCTGACTGGGGCGTTTACCGCACCATCGCAACAGGCGAAGGTTCTGACGATGAGGAGGAAGAGGATCTCTCCAAGAACCTCAAAGAGATAGAGTCTCAACTCCTCAAGCATGATCCTGACTTTACGGAAGAGTCAACACGTGAAGCGCAGACTGATTGGACTAAGAGCATCCTTCATGCTTTCCTGCATGGCCCCTACCCGTTTGATCCAGAGTCACAAAAGGAAATCAACCAGATTCATCTTAATGTTGAACGCATCCGCATCCCAGAAGTGGTCTTCCAACCTACAATTGCTGGCCTCGACCAAGCCGGCATCGTTGAGATTGCATCCAACATCCTGACCGAGCGCTTAGGCGATTCTCCCTACCGTGATGACGTCTTGAAAGACATTTTCCTTACGGGTGGTAACACTATGTTCCAGGGCTTCGAGGAGCGACTCAGAGCCGAACTGAGAGCTGTTTTACCGGCGGAGCAGACGATCAATGTACGAAAGGCGGGTGATTGTGTGCTGGATGCTTGGAAGGGAGCTGCGCAGTGGGCTGCGAAGAAAGAGTCGAAACGCAATTTCATTACCAGAGAGGAGTTTTTGGAGAAGGGAGCGGAGTACATCAAAGAGCACGATCAGGGTAACGCGGCTTACTAGGTGATTGCAATCTTTCGTTTCACTTTTTTTTTGTCCTGGTTGAGCTTTGGTTCTCTTGTAGCCTAACATTAATGGCGGGTAGATGGCGTATTCTTCTCCTATGGTGGAACTTGTCGATTGAGGTCTCTAATGCTTTTGGTATTTGAAATGAGACACTCGATCGTTTTACTTTACTTCTTGGTTCAGTCAATCATACGGCGTGTCTATGTGAATCTTGTTGGATTTGCATTAATATCTGTTAGCCCCCACAAAGTTAGCACCGTCGTCTGAACCTGCTCCTAGTTATCTGCTGCAGTGGTACCAGATAATGACCTTTATCTCTATCATTGGTCTTGCTTGCAGATTGGCGGTCAGCATCTGGAGCAATGCTCTTGTACTGCAATGCCCCTCTCAATCGCGCCAAAAAGCCTCACTTTACCGTTGTTCAATCCAAACATGAGAAGAATGGGCGGAGGCAAGGCGACCCTAGATTTTTAGTTCCCACAGCAGTTGCGCTGTTTCTGCAAGCCTAGTCGTGGGACTACTATGGCAGGTACCTAGACTGGTGTGGATACGAGATCTGCCAGCACTGTCGACCGGGGAGATGCTCACCCAACGTAACACCTAAAGGGCCGACCTGACGTTTCGATCGAGCGAAAGCAGTTCGCCAGCAGCTTTCCGGACACCCGCTCTGTCGCAGCCTGGGGTTATTCCCATCGAATAAGCCGGACCAGCGCGGCTTTGTTGGATGGGGATCATGGGCAATGTGTAAGAAATAAGGTTTGAGCCGCGTGTTTCTGGTAACTATAAGAATACGTGTCGACCACCGCCATTTTATATGTTACGTTTTTCCTGCCTCTTGAGATCTTTGTGGTATCATCTACAGTGTATCCTACTATCATTCAGCTGTTTTTTTTTCAAACCTAAAATACCTAGCATAAACGTAGCACTGAGCCAAACATGCCTAACACAGTTCTCGTCACGGGCGGAAACCGCGGTATGCCACCTTTGACCTTACATTTCCATGTTAATCTTCTCATAAAGTCACCTAGGGCTCGGTAAGGCTTTGGTAGAAGCATATCTTTCAGTCCCAGACACAACCGTGATAGCCACAGTGCGGGACACAGCCAAAGCCGACGCGGCGCTGTCGCCTCTCCCCAAGGCCTCGGGATCGCGGGTTCTGACTGTGTACATGGAAATGGGATCCTTTGACACGATAGCAGCTGGTGTCGAAACACTAAAGACAACACACAACATTACTTCGATTGACATTGCGATTGCCAATGCCGGTCTTGTCGGGCCAACCCTCGGTCTCGCAAATACTCCGTCGTCTCAGCTCCAACCATTCATTGATGTCAACGCATACGGCCCCTTTGAGCTGTTCAGGGCCGTTTTACCTCTTCTCCGCGCTTCAACTGCTGAGACCAAGGGCAAATTCATCTACGTCTCGAGTGGCGCTGGAAGCCTGAATGGCATGCTTAACATTCGTAAGTAACATCCAGATGTAATGATTATCGCAACCTTTGATGTGTCAGCTGTATTATGCAGCCAGATAACTGGGGGAGGGGGGGGGGGGTTCTTTTCGTTGGTATCGAAGCTTTCTGTAGGGATCTAGTATGCTAACTTTTTGTCTTTCACAATTAAAGTGCCCATAGCTGGATACGGAGCAAGCAAAGCACTCGCCAATTACTTGTTCAAGTGGCTGGCTCTCGACAACAAGGATGTTATTGTATACTCACTCGACCCAGGGTACGTATATATTGTCTTTACATCATCATTGTCGCTTTGCCCCTCTAAAGAGAAAATGAAGAAAAAAAACCCCCCTTGCTAATTCCCCTCGTACCAACAGATTGGTCGACTCCGATGGTGTCCGCGAATATCTCGAACAGGCAAAGGCCATGGGCCTCGACATGTCTTTGTTTACCTTTTCGCCAGTCGACGAAGTTGCGCGTGCAATGCAAAAATCGGTATGTATGGGCTGAGATGATGATGTTGAAAGCATACTGACATGGAAAACTAAATAGATTGGTGCTGCGACCGAGAGCTCAAGCGGACAGTTTCTGTCGAAAGAAGGTACACAGATGCCGTGGTAAAAAAAAAGACGATTTATTGTTGCTATGTGATAAGAATGGAGCGTAGACGGAATCTTTGATGCTTAGATATTGGATTCAGTGCATCGTGAATCAAGCGTAGATATAGAAATCATCGCTGCTTTTGAATGGCTGCTACCCCCCCCCCCCCCCCTTACATCGCCGTGTGACTGAGTACTCTAGCTTTTTTACAAGCATGTACATGAAAAATCCAAACCGATATTCCCAGGATATCATTTTTCCTTTCCAAACCCACCTCCTCTCCAACGAAAATAAGTAATCTACCCGTCATTCTCTTTTCCAAGTGGCGGCAGCCAAGTGATGATGCGCCAAATGTCTCTAATCTCATAGAAACACTCGTAGTGCTCTTTGGCATACCGAATAGCACGTGAATAATCGTCCGTTGCATCTGCGGCGGGATCCGGCTGATTGGCAAGAAGCTTCTCGTAGTATGGATTGCAGTATTCCAGGAAGCGACGGGGATGTTCAATCATGTACTCTCTGTACCGGTGAGCTAGAGCATATGGGTCTTCTTGTAGTAGGAGAGGCTCTGTCATGATGTTATAGGTGGTGATAATACTACTGATGCACGAGCGTGATATGAGATATTGCGTTGCTCGCTACTTCTTTGGACATTTTGATGATATTGGGACAAAGGAGGAATGTCTTTGTTGTTCGTGGGATAGTGACGGTGATACTGTGAGACTCTGGACTCAATAGTTTCTTTCAGACTTGAAACAATACGCTGTCTGGAAGAATCAAGCTTATTAGACCGAAATGTTTGCTGGATGGTACTACTTTTTAATCACCAAGTCTTGGAGAGCAATCGAGCTGGAATGGAAGAGAAGAAGGCAGTTGGACAGCACAGTAAGTTCCCAACTTCTCGACCCAAGCCATTGTATTTCATAGGATTCGGCGAGTTTTCATTTTCTGAAGCAGTGAAATTGCTCATAAATGTCGTTGAGCGGCAACGACAAAAGCGATATGGAATAGTAGTATCGTATGTGTGTTCACGACCCTCGGCCATGGACGCTTGCGCCAAAAGTGGATCCTGGGCAAGCTAGTGCGCGCGCTTGGGTAAATGGGGATTAGCGTAGAGGCTAAGCGTCTGGCAAAAATTGAGCTTGCGAACAATTTCTCGAACACCACTTCAACATGTCGCCGAAGTCGTACGTTTGTTTCCATCCAAATCGTCATGTCAACACTAATCAGAGGACTGCAGAACTGTTCCGACGCAGAGCGATATTACGCTTGTGCCTGAGAACCTTCTCAAGAAGAGAAAGTCTCAAGAGAAGGCTCGCGAGGAGCGCGCAATCGCAACTCGGGAAAAGCGAGGTACGAGCCATCTCCCATGCCATGGCAGATTCCAAGAGGCCGGTTACGATGATTATAACAACCACACTATCGGCTAGACTCCGGTCAATGTTGTCGAATTGTTAACCATCTTTCGGGAATGAGAAAATCGACCTCTTGGCGTCTCATGGCATGCTATCCTGTTGTGAAGCAATACTGACATGAGACAGACAAGAACAAGAAGAAGCGTGAGGTCATCTTCACCAGAGCGGAGAAGTATGTCAAGGAATACCGTGATGCCGAGAGGGAGCGCATAAGGCTGTCACGCGAAGCCAAGAAGAGCGAGAGTCTCTATGTGCCCGAAGAGCCCAAGCTTGCCTTTGTCGTGCGCATCAAGGGTATCAACAAGATTGACCCCAAGAAGCGCAAGACATTGCAGCTTCTGCGGCTGCTCCAGATCAACAATGGCGTCTTCATCAAGCTTACCAAGGCTACCATGGAGATGTTGAAGATTGTCGAGCCCTTTGTTGCCTATGGTTACCCGAACCAAAAGTCGGTCCGTGAGCTCATCTACAGTAAGAGTGACCGCAGCCTAGAGGGGTGTTGGCAGCAGTACTGACGTGATTTGCAGAGCGTGGTTATGGCAAGGTTGACAAGCAACGGATTCCCTTGACTGACAACGAGATCATCGAGGAGAACCTGGGCAAGTACGGCATGATCTGTATGGAAGATCTGATCCACGAGATCTGCACTGTTGGCCCCAACTTCAAGGCGGCGTCCAACTTCCTGTGGCCATTCAAGCTCAACAGCCCAACGGGCGGCTTCCGCAAGAGGAAGTTTAAGCACTACATTGAGGGCGGTGACCTGGGCAACCGGGAAGAGAAGATCAACGAGCTGATCAGGCAGATGAACTAGTGCAGTGATTTGTGTTTTTGTCTTTGTTCAAGGGTTGGCGCGCAAAAAGCTGGTCGGATATACCACGGGATGGAGCATTTACATTGGCGTTTGGGGACACTTTGACGGAAGTCGAGGGCACGGTCCCTCTGACGAGTCTACGTACTTGAGTACTTAGTAGTCGGGTGCAAGGCACCAGCATATTGAATGCATATGACGAGGCAATGTTAATCTTGTGCAATGTGTTGGCTCAGGGGTGTTTTTTTTGTGCAACAATGGACGTGGTGAATGGGGCTTGACGATAGAGTTTATGGAAGTGGTAGATGGACTTGTGGTTGGTGGTGGCTTTTTGTCTGGTCGCCCTCTGGCTGATGGCAGCACAGAGGCCAGAGCTAGGAGGCGCTGCGTGTGTGCCTGTGTCTGTGCCGCGAAGGCCGAACGCCGACGAGGTGCAGCAGACGGGCGCGAAGGTTTGAGTGGGCATTTTTTTTTTCTCTTTGAAATGCGATGCAGCGATGCAGGCGTGTCGAGCAGGGCAAGGCAGCCGTCGCTGAAACACGGGCGCTCGGAGACGTGGTGTTGGCGGGGGGTCCCACTAGGAGCGGCCAGGTGTCGCTCGTGATGTTTGGGTGCAGCAGCAAGACAAGGAAGGGCAGGCAGGCAGGCAGGCAGGCTTCCGTCTTCCGTCTTTCACGTGCCGGGGCGCGGGGCTAGTCCCAAAGGGGCCAGTAGCAGAGTGACAGGCTGGCTAGCCAATCGACTAAGGGCTGCCGCATGTTCCATGAGATTTTTTCCTTCTAGCTGCCCGCCCACCCTCACCGCACCCGGCGGCAGGCGGGCGTCAAATTGAAGGCAATCTCGTCGACATGGCTCCAAACAAGATGCAAATTGACGCCACGTCAGGCGGCGGCAATCATGGCCCACGGGGTCCGGGTGGCCGCGCTGTGTGACCCAGGCGAATCGTGTGGTGCCTGAAGCCATACATTGCCGTGCCATGGGCGAGCAGCAAAGCGTCACCAAGGCGATGGAGCGGCCAGCAGCCAATGGGCCAGCGGCACAGGGGCTGGCGGTCGGAGGTGCTGGGTGGAGCAGGTGGCCGGCCTCGAACACACTCACATGCATCCCAAGACGACAGGGTGGGCTCTTGCTTATGCAATTCCACCGAGCCCAGAACGACGTGCCGAGCGCTTGGGGGTGGTGGGTGGGCTGCGAGCCCCGAGTGACGATTGCAATTGCACACGCTGTGGGTGGTGTAGGTAGTATACTTACTTAGTGTAGGTAGGTAGGGTTGATGACGCCTACCCACCGCCCGCATCCATGCCCTTGCCATCTGCATCCCAGCCCGCTTTCGCCGCCGACGTTGTCACCGCCACCGTGGTGTTCGGGCTTGGGGATCGATGTGCAAAGGTCACGCTGATCGCACCACAGGCTCCGCATCGCCCGACTTACTCGTCTCCTGCTAACTGCTGCCTTTGCACTGCATACCTGCACCATGTAAGTAATAGCGATGATAGCAGTAGTAGAGCAGCAGTCATAGGCCATGGCCCCCGCTCGCCGACACCTAAACGTCTGACGCTTCCGTGGGCCACCTGTCGTGGGAGGCAGCAACTCAACGGCCGCGGCGGCACAATTTTTTTTTTCACGCATGGCGAACGGGCCCGAGGTGACGGTGGTGGATATCGCCATCAGGCTGCGATTCGTGGGCTGTACGTCTTGATGCCCACCACCACCACCACTACTACCACCACCACCAAAGCAAACAAGAGAAGCGCCAGGACACACAGACTTCTGACTGCATGCCGCAACCACGGCCTTCGCCTCGTGTCTGTTGCTACTATTACTCCTGCTGATGCAGCCGCCAATCTGGCCCCCCCTTACTGTGTCATTTTGGATAGATATTAAACAACAAGGCACTCGAGCACAGTCACCATGCCACGCGCTCGTCTGGCGGCGGCTGTTCGCTGCTTGGATTGCTGGCCCTCTCCTCAGGCCTCTCCAGGCGCAGCGGCCCAGTCAGCCCGCTACTGCAGGCGTGCCGAAAAGAGGGCGGGAGGCCGGATTGCACGAGCAGAGGCGGGCGATACGTGGCTCGCTGTGGTCGCAGGCGCAGACGGCGGTCCCTGGCGGCGTTCATTGGCTTGGGGCGTCTTGGAGGTGCATTCGCTCGCTCCAATGCGTGCACAACCACTGCAGCACTCCTGCGTCAGGAGTCATGACCGGTAGTCACCGCAACCCGTGGGCGGAGGGGGAGACATGATGACCCACTAAACCCCAAGTGGCAGAGTTTTCATAGCACATGAGTGGGCACACACACATGTAATGAACCGTTGTTGCAGGCGCACCCTTCGGATGGAGACGGGCGTCCTACTACGTACAAGGTCCCTTCGCGGTTGCTAGGCCTCGCTAACTGCCTCGACGACACACCACCCACTCATCACCGCTTTCTGCCCTGCCCTGCCCTGCCCCGTTCCATCTCCCTCCCCTCCCACCCCCCATCTCCCCCTCCCTTCTCTCCCTCGTCCTCGTCCTCACCCTCACCCTCGTCCTCACCCTCCTCGACCACCCCCTCCCATCTCCTCACGTCTCGTCGTCGCAGGCGTTGCTCGTTGCAACACACAGTGACCCCAGCCAAGCGGACGTGCGCATCAAATCTCGGCTGTCACGGCACCCCCAAGCCGCTCAGCAACTTGACCCGACGCTTGCTCTGTCTCCAGGCCTAGCCCAACTGCAAACCATCACTGTACTGCCACTCTTGGCTCGACTCGTCTGTCTGGCCTAGAGAAGACAAATCCCGGCTGCAGTCTCTCCGACACCAAGCGCCTCGCCGCCTGCCTCTTCCTCTCTCTCTCTCTCACACACACACACCCGGTGTGCAATCTTCGCCTCTGGTTTTGGCTTGCGCTGCGTAATTGGGCCCGGCTCGGTTTCAATATCTGCTTCCCTCCGAGCCATCCACCACAACATCCCCGACCCCAGCAGCGTCGTCCTGCCCTCCCCGACCACGCATCGCCGGATCTATTGACTTAGCCCCGGCTTGCTCTTGATCAACTGCCAGTTGCTCGCTACCTGTCGACGCACACTCGGCCGCTTTCATCTCATCTTACCCTTTTCCGCTCGACGCCTGCACGCACCCACACACGCACGTACGCACGTACGCGCCGCGCAACAAGCAGTGCCAAACATCCTCAACACACAACAACAAACACTTCTCGCAGGCGACAAATTTTTCCTTGAATGAGCACATCTTGCTAGAGGGTCCGTAGGCTACTCTAGAGGCGGCGCGAACGAGAAGACTGTACGTCAGAGCCAACAAATCTTTCCACACCCCCATACGACACGCCACGCCTCCTCACTTGTCGCTGCTACAAGTCCTTCACTAACACAGTGCCAGGAGCCTTGCCAGTCTTCTCTCTGCGACGGTCCGACACCATCATGCCTTCCTTCTACCCCCGGCATAACATGCCACGGCTCTCTCCGCCAGAGTTCGTGCCCAGCTATCACTCTGCATGCGGTGCATCATACCCACCGCAACAGCCTGCTTATGCTGGTCCTACGATCCGCCAACAAGATGATGGTTACGACTTCGCAGACCGCTACGGCCAACTGGCCATCGCCATGCCACCCATGTACCCGCAGGCTGGCACCTACCTGAGCACTGCGCCCCCCAGCCTCCCTTCCACCAACTCGTTCTACGATCCCATGGGCGCCACTCTTCCCCCGATGCGCATGCAGTCTGGAAACTCGATGGCGGATGCAGCAATGCAGCAACAGCAACAGCAACGGCTGCACGAGTACAACCAGCGCGTAGGCCAGCAGGCCAAGGAAGAGAAGCCCGTTGGTGGAGTCTCAGCTAAGTTGGACTACGACATGGAGGTCATGACCGATTTCGTATGCGACACAGCCCTGCGCCTCATTACCCCCGGTCGAATGATGCCTTCCACCTTCCGAAAATGGGTGCACCAGGTCCTTTGTGCCACGAGGCTTCCCTCGGCAACCATCCTGCTCAGTATATTCTATCTGTCCAACAGGATGCCGATGCTGGCTCACGAGCCAAAGACGGATACCCATTTGTTCCGCCTGCTTACCATTGCGCTGGTGCTTGGTAGCAAGTTCTTGGATGACAACACCTTCATCAACCGTTCTTGGTCAGAGGTCAGCGGTATCCAGGTTCATGAGCTGAACGAGCTCGAGTTGGAGTGGCTCCTTGCTATCAAGTTCAAGCTTCATCGCGACCCCGCCGAGCAACAGGGCTGGACCTCTTGGTCAGAACACTGGAAGGAGTACCAAAAGACCGCTGCTGCCCGCGCAGATCGTACTAGCAAGCTTAGTCCCATTGACACTACGATGCACCGACGCTCATTCAACTCCAACAAGCCGCTTCCTCCTCTGCCGATGCAGCAGGCTTACACTCCATCGTATGACTATGCGCCCAAGTCTGCACAATACAACCCTCCATCTTATTCCCAGTACGATCCATGGAGGTCCGCAAGCGAACACTCCCCTGCGTCTGCACCTACCACGGGTCCCACCACTCCCGAGTATTATGGCGCGACGGGCACTTGGGCTCCCGTTGAGGGATATTCGCGTCGCACCATGTTCGGCTTCCCACCCTTGTCTCAGCCCGCCCCCGTACAGGCGTCCCAGCAGTCATCCAACTATGGCCCACCAGCTTACTCACAGTACACGCCTTCTGCATGGAACCATCATGGCCTGAGTTGTGGATGTGCGTACTGTGTCCAAAGACATCCCCCATACTTCATGGCTCCCGGCTATGGCCCCCAGGCTGTCGCTGTCTAAAGCTGGCCTCGATTCGCTGGATGTCATTGCGACGCAGTCTTGTTGACTTTCCATGGATACACATTCGTCGTCCCATTTCAGCGCTTCCTTTGTTCAAAAAGTTTCTGCTCATTTACACAAAGTACCCCGGCTTACCGAAGCCATCACCCGGATCATCCAGTCCCGGCCACTGGATACGTTTGGTCGCTTCGATTCCCTCAAGCCTAGACTACCGGACCCTCCTACGGCGCAACCGCCCTATTCCCTAAGCTATTTGCACACATATTGGCGCCACTCCGGATCTTACGAAAACGCATCAGGCTTGCAATCATTTTGCACGATAGATTTCCCAATTGTCGTCCCCCCTTTTTTTTCTTCTCTTTCTCCTTTCGCTCTTTGTTATCATGGGTATTACGTTTTAGACTTTGGTTTGTCCATGGTCTGATAGGAGCATGTCAGCGAAATTGTGGGTTCTCGGCGTTAATGTTTTACCACCTGGGGTGCCACCTTGCACTTTTACGATTGTTCCTTTCCTCAGCGCTTCCTCTAAGAATATGCACGGGAGGGCTCCTTTATCCATTGGTTCATGGTTGTTTCTTCTTTGGGGCAGGCTGGCGCTTTCAGGGCGTCAAGTCACTCCTCGCACTCCATACATTGGTGGCTACCAACGGATCTGCCATTGCTGGAGGGCTGCTTATCACGTTCACGAATGTTTTTTTCTTTCCTTCTTCAATTGTGGCCTTCCGCTGTAGTCGGGTTGTAATTAATGGCACAAGATGGGCGATAAGGAATTCGCTTTTTTCTATTCGGGCGGTGGGAACAAAATACCTCTCGCTTTTCTACAGGCTTTTCCCAGCCTGTGCATCATTTCGGGCAAACGGAGGAAGTATTATTTTGGGCTTTTTCTTTGCTTTTTTTCTTTCTTTCTTTAGTGTACTACTGTTATACATTGAAAGATCCTGATATCCCGGGACACACCAGAATGCGAAAAAAAAATCCTAGAAAAGCGACGAAGTCGCATAAGGAAAACATGACTCTTCTCAAGTTCCAAATGTGGGTAGTGATGGAGTGTTTTTTCTTTGCTGTGTATGATTAGGTCGTTTGGGGAGGTGTGAGGGCATGAGTTGGGCTTCATAGGCCTTTGTTGGTTGGCAAAGCAGGGTATTAGAAGACAGTGACTTCTTCTCGTAAGCAGAAAACTAGTTTAGTATATGCGATTCAATCTGAATTGTTTTCATTTCGGCATATTATTTGCATAACGTGCGTTCCTGGCTGTACATAGATACTTCGTAATAGTATGATAGTGGAGCGTAGGAAAGAATAGGATGGATGCTACAACGGTCTGTGCTGGTGTGATAGCCGCTTTGCTCACATGCGAGACATACCGATCTTGAATTGATTGTGTATGCATCCTAACATCATAGCTGACCTCAGCCCCGCCTAAAGAGGGTAGTATCTGAAGGATAAGTATTAATTGAAGGTGCATGTCTCTCTTTTCATGCTGACAGGCCTGTATGAGCGGGCGAACTACTCCCCGAAATCCCCCGCGGGCAGGCAGCAGCATGCGATGCACGAGGCTGACCAACACACGAACCCTGACCAATCAGTCCCTCGATTCAAGCTGAAAACAGTGAACAACAGATCGCGCAACCCCATGCCAAAATTTGTCCGAACACGGATTCCCTGCTGAATGGCGAGAAAAGACGGCGAGTGGATTAGGTGGGCCTGTAGCAATGTGCTGCGCAACGCTAGCCAGATACATGGCTCGGTTATCTCACTACGTCAACCATGTTAACTCCGTTATGCCGCGTTTCTTGCCCGCTTGAGACTCATCTGCAGTCTTACCGCCAACTCTGGACGACCAGAGACCGCGTGGTCTAATCTTCTTCGTCCGCCTGTAAGAAGACGCGCGTGTCTGAGCCTTTGTGTGTGTGCACAGCCAGCCACAGCCGCAGCAATTAGTGAGACCGAGCCTAACGCTTTACAAGTACACATACATATATATGCAATGTCTTCCCTGGTTTCGATATTTTCTCGTCGCTTGAGACTACAGGTAAATGAAGCGCGACTTACACAGTACCGACGCAAAGCTCGGAGCTACCAGTGTTTCTTGCAAACACCACAGTTTAGTACGACAATCAAGATGAGCTCGATCGGAGGCGCAACTATTGGTGCCGGGCTGTATGCTGCAGTGAGCAATCCAGCGCAGATTGGTGCCACACCCGAGGACGCAGCGGATAAGAGACATCATTTGAAGAACGGCAAGGGCTTTACCAATCCATGGGACAGCTATGTCGATGCTACTCCATGGCAATTGCTCACGGGCCTGGGTTGGTAAGACCCATGTTTCTTTACAAACAAATATCTATGCAGAAATCATAATCTGACATACCCATCCAGGCGCAAAATCACTGGTCAAGTAAATATCCCGGACACCACGCCACCCACTGTCCCCGTTCACACTGCGTCTTTCCTCCCCACTCGCGAAACTCCCAAATTACGTGCAACATGGCTCGGCCATGCATGCTATTACATCGAGTTTCCTAGTGGGTTCCGCGTACTTTTTGATCCCGTCTTCGAAGACTGCTGCGCGCCCGTCACCATCAAGAGTCTAAAGCGGTTCACGCCTCCTCCTTGCGAGATAGAAGATCTACCGGTTGTAGACGCCGTAGTCATCAGTCACAATCACTACGATCACCTGAGTTACCCGACCATCCAGCGGCTGCACAGAAAGTTCCCTGAGGCACATTATTTTGCGCCCTTAGGCAACAAGGACTGGTTTCTTAAAAGCGGTGTGACCAAAGTGACCGAGTTGGACTGGTGGGAGAGCAGAGACGTGCAATTACAAGAAAAAAACGACGCCGCATCTATTGTTCCGAGTGGCAATGCAGAGGCGGACAAGAAGGTGGGTGGGAGTGGTGCCATCACCGCGACCATTGGGGCACTGCCTTGTCAGCATGTCAGTGCCAGAGGCCCCTTTGACAAGTGCAAGACCCTCTGGGCTAGCTGGAGCGTCGAATCTGGTGGCTCAAAAGTATATTTTGCTGGGTATGTCTACGAACGATGTTCTCACCTCCCACACCTTTTATGATTTTTTTCTCTCTCCGTTCAAACAATCCAATTTACTGACGAGCAAATGTTTTCTCTTCTAGCGACACTGGCTACCGAACCGTCCCCAAAGGCATCCCTGCAACAGAAGACGACTACTCGGCCGCATACTCGCATCTCCCTACGTGCCCGGCCTTTGCGCAAATCGGCAAACACAGAGGCCCCTTTGATCTTGGCCTCATTCCCATTGGCGCATACGAGCCCCGCTGGGCCTTTAGCAACGTCCATGCAAACCCTAAAGACGCAGTCAACATCTTCGTGGACACTCGCTGTGTAAGGGCACTCGGCATGCACTGGGGAACTTGGGTTTTGACAGAGGAAGAGGTCATGGCGCCGCCAAAAGAGCTCAAGGAAGCATGTGCATGGAAGGGTATCGAGCATGGTAGAGGCGGCTTTGGCGTTTGCGATATCGGAGAGTCATGCGAGTTTGAAAGTGGAGCAAGTCCGGAGGAGAAGAAATAAAATGTTTCCGTGGGGAATCTATGTATGTGGCTGGGTATGTGTGTGGATTGCGGAAATGACGGTTGTTCAACTTTTGTTTTTCTGATACCCGGGGGATTCAGTTGTTGCGTTTTTTTTTGTTTTGGGCTGTTGAGTAAATGAGGATGTATATACATGGAATTTAGCTCTATTGCATTGTTTGATGCTCACAACTATTGTTTTCGACAGCTGATGTGTACGCAGTTGTACCAAATCCCCGCCATGTGGTTTTTGATGCTCTAAAATGTATACAATCGTGGGAGTTTGGTGGGAAAAAACTTGAGGTTTCCCACCAAGTCCTTGTTGACGAGTTGCATCCATTGTTGTCTTTAACATGCGAAGTTGCGTGGAATTAATATTAGGTCAGGGAAGTGATTTAATAGAAAAACATTACCTTCATCTGTACATTTATTTTCAAGATGAATAGTATTATAGCCAAACAGATGGATAAATAGGTAGAGTTGTAGTCATGTCAGCTGAATAGACGAGACTACTAGAGAAGATAGACTTTAGTCATTCTCCTATGCATTACTGTATGTTACAACAACACACAGCACGCTCTTCCAAGACGCGCCCGCCACAAAAGCGACAGCACGTACCCTCGGCAATGCTTCTCGAGCATCTGAACCCCTGGTACCGCCCACCGTCCGAATTCGACCCAGCATCCCTAGCCGCCCTCTCATTCCAAGCGCCCGTCAAGCTCCTACTCCACCACACCTACCAGTTCCTCAGCCAGCTGCACTCGACGCCCAAGCCCCGCCAGGACCTCCCCATACGCGTCGTGTGCATATCAGACACGCACAGCCAGATCCCCGACCATGTCCCCGATGGCGACGTGCTCATCCACGCTGGCGACATGACCAACGACGGCAGCGTGGCCGAGATACAAAAGCAGATTGACTGGCTGAGCGCGCTGCCGCACCGGGAAATCGTAGTCATTGCCGGGAACCACGACACGTTTCTCGATCCGAGGGTGCGGGCTTCGTTGCCGGAAGCGCAGCGTCGAGGCGCGTTGAATTGGAAGAGAGTGCATTACTTGCAGCATCGACGCGTCAGTCTCACAATCAAGGTCCAGCCACGTGTGCATGGCGACGACGATGCTGTTGCTGGTATCAGTGTGAACACGCCGTTGCTGGCTGCGGAGCAGTGCCAGAGACGCATACGTATATATGGCGCGCCGCAGATACCCGCCTGTGGGCCGATGAATGTTCACGCGTTCCAGTACGAGCGGGGTCAAGATGCGTGGTCCGAGACTGTGCCTGAGGACATAGATATTCTGGTCACGCATACACCACCGAAGTTCTACCGCGACCTTTCGTTGCCAGTGGGCCTGGGCTGCGAGCACCTGCTGGCCGAGGTTCGGCGTGTGAAGCCTGCTCTACATGTCTTTGGTCACGTACACTGGGGGGCTGGACAGACGGTCGTCTGGTGGGACAAGGCACACGATGCCTATGTGCAAGGGCTATCAATCCAGTCCAAATGGACTCGTGGGCTGTTGAACCCAATCCTATGGTGGAATGTCGTAAGGGTCATATACCGCGGCATAAGGGAACTACTATGGGATCGTGTATGGGGAGGCCAAAGCCCCAATACTATCATGGTCAACGCAGCCCAGATGCATGGAAACACAGGGCGTCTGGCCAACTCCATCCAAGTCGTCGACATCTAATGTTGCCCATCACGGTATACCAGTACAAAGTCGTAATCGTAATGTATAAATGAACACCTTTTTTTTGATCAACACAGCAATAGCACTTCATTGTCGGGAAGCCTTTTCAAACTAAAAAGGATTCTGTTGATTTAGCTCGACTATCTCTCGCACGAGAAGCCAAGTTCAACATGGAGACCAGGCAGTTTCGCCGTTCCCCGCGACTTTATTGTGGTCATGAAACCATAAATCGTGCAAACCATGCCATGCCATATTCCACCACTGAGAGCCACTTGCGCGCATACGCTCAGAGACGACGACCACGGCGACCACCCTTTCTCCTGGTCGAGTCGGATGGGGTAGGGGTGACGTCCTCGATACGTCCAATGCGCATGCCAGCACGGGCAAGAGCGCGGAGAGCGGACTGGGCACCGGGGCCGGGGGTCTTGGTGCCGTTACCACCAGTAGCTCGGATCTTGACGTGGAGAGCGGTGATTCCGAGTTCTGCATATGTTTAGTCTGTGCAAAAAAGTAACCCCTCGAAATGGCCCGACTTACCCTTGCAGCGAGCGGCGACATCCTGGGCTGCCAACATGGCGGCGTAGGGAGAGCTCTCGTCACGGTCGGCCTTGACCTTCATGCCCTGTTGTACTGATCAGCGACTGTCGCATATAGCGATTGCGTTTTGGGCGCACT